ACCGCATCCGGATCCGATGCCCAGCGGTCGAATCCGTTCCTGCCGTCGATCAGCGGCGTCGCGCCGGTCGACCTCGCCGCCGGTGTCCCGATCGGGATCGGGAGAGCCCCGATCTGCCCTCCTCCGTTGACCGCACCACCGCGTGGGCCGCGCCCCGAGTCCGGCCCAGCGCAGCCGCTCCCGCCGGCCTGCCTTCTCCTCTTCCTGTGGGCCGAGCCCAGTGGTGAGCAGCCCAGCTATCCCCCGTCCCGTGCGATTTTTACTATTTGACGCTCACTGAATTTCTGCTAAGTCCTGAGATTCTAGGTTCATGTGACTCTCTTCATCATGTCGTAAGTGCATCACCGTTGCTCCGATTCATGCATATAGCATATCAAAATGTTCGCCTCAGAGAGTACATCATTTCATCTCATTGCATCATTTTCATTTGAGTTCATCTTGATGCCCAAAATGCTGTTAGAAAAGTGCTACTTGAGATATTTGTCAGATCTACTGCTCCATTTAGATATTTGTCATTTTTGCCATGATTAATGTGTGCATGATATGTCCATGAGCTCTATATATGTTTTGTTAAGGGTTTTGCCATCTCTCCAGAGGTGCAACCCATGTATTTTTGTGATGTGTGTGGTGACTAGCACAAGCTTGCCAAGTGAGGCACTTGATAATGCTGATTTCAGGGACTTAGCATTTCCACTAAGTCCTTGGTCTGTTTATCTCATTATGCCATATGTTCAGGTTGTTTCCTAGTGATCCGTGCCTCTTTTGAGGATGATTAGTAAGGGTGTTTTGTTAATATTGTAGTGCTCTATCCATCCATGTCTTCATTTGCATTTATGGAGCACCCTAGCTTGAGTCAATCGGGCTCTACTTTTGTCATTTCATGAATCTGGGCAGATTGTCTACTTATTAGCGATTTTGCCGAGGATGTTGTAGTTGATCTGTGCATGCCATGTTATTGTTCTTGCCATGTATATCTTGTATAATGTGTATTCTTGATGGGTGTATGCTTATATTGTCATGACTTGCTCTGTAGTGAGTGCATCGAGCTCGTAAACATGCCTACTTGATATCTGTTTCAGCATGCTCCAATTTTCACTAAGTCTGAGAACTGATTATGTTTTTGCCATGTTCACATGCTTGCAATTGTATTTTCTGATCCCTTTTGGCTCAAGGTCACTAAGGGACTTTTGTTAAGCTCTTTGAGTAGTTCCATGCCATGCTTTACTTTGCCATGTTCAGGTCCTGTAGCATATAGTTTTCATGCTCCGAAGTGTGCTACCTGATCTGAAATTCCAGGCTAGTGTTAATTTCACTAAGTCTGAAATCTGTTTACCATATGCATTTTGCCATGCTTGTTTGAACCTGTTAATGGATGAATTGGCCGTAGCTCAGTGCTAGTCTTTTGTTAAGCATCATGAATGCATCCCTGCCATGTATTTTGTTGTCATGTTTGGGTGTTGTAGCTTGTTTATCTCATTGCATTTAGATGGCTACTTGCTGTATATCGCAGACCGGTGCCATATTTGAATTGCTTGCCATTTCCAAACCGTAACTCCGATTCCGGCGTTCTTTATATCGTTTTCAAGCGATTTCATATCATCTTTCCAGTGGCACACTTGGTTTTCCAAGTTGAGGCCAGGTTCATTCGTTCCTTGACAAATCATGCACATGCATCACATACCGCATCCCGCATATCATACCATGTTCATGTGCTGGTTGTTTACTATGTTGTGTGCTTCTTTCCGGTGTTTGCTTCTTCGGGTTGGTTCCGGTTACGTCGCGTTTGTGAGGACCCGTTCGTCTACGTCCGTTTGTCTTCTTCATGGACTCGTTCTTCTTCCTTGCGGGATCTCAGGCAAGATGACCATACCCTCGAAATCAGTTCTACCTTTGCTTGCTAGTTGCTCGCTCTTTTACTATGCCTATGCTGCGATACCTACCACTTGCTTATCATGCCTCCCATATTGTTAAACCAAGCCTCTAACCCACCTTGTCCTAGCAAACCGTTGTTTGGCTATGTTACCGCTTTGCTCAGCCCCTCTTATAGCGTTGTTAGTTGCAGGCGAAGATTGAAGTTTGTTCCTTGTTGGAACATGGAGTTCGTTCCTTGTTGGAACATAGGTTACTTGTTGGGATATCACAATATATATATCTTATTTAATTAATGCATCTATATACTTGGTAAAGGGTGGAAGGCTCGGCCTTATGCCTAGTGTTTTGTTCCACTCTTGCCGCCCTAGTTTCCGTCATATCGGTGTTATGTTCCCGGATTTTGCGTTTCTTACGCGGTTGGGTTATAATGGGAACCCCTTGACAGTTTGCTTTGAATAAAACTCCTCCAGCAAGGCCCAACCTTGGTTTTACCTTTTGCCACCTAGCCTTTTTCCCTTGGGAGTCACGCATCCCGAGGTTCATCTTTGTTTTAAACCCCCCCGGGCCAGTGCTTGTCTAAGTGTTGGTCCAAACTAGAGCCCCTTGCAACGCCACCTCGGGGAAACTCGAGGGTTGGTTTTAGTTGTACGGATTGCTTATCCGGTGTTGCCCTGAGAACGAGATATGTGCAGCTCCTATCGGGATGTCGGCGCATCGGGTGGTCTTGCTGGACTTGTTTTACCATTGTCGAGGATGTCTTGAAAAACCGGGATACCGAGTCTGATCGGAATGTCTCGGGAGGAGGTCTATTCCTTCGTTAACCGTGAGAGCTTGTCATGGGCTAAGTTGGGACACCCCTGTAGGGATTTGAACTTTCGAAAGCCGTGCCCGCGGTTATGGGTAGATGGGAATTTGTTAATGTCCGGTTGTAGAAAACCTGAAGTTGACCTTAATTAAAATGCATCAACTGCGTGTGTAACCGTGATGGTCTCTTTCCGGCAGAGCCCGGGAAGTGAACACGGTGTTGGAGTTATGCTTCATGTAGGTTGTTTTAGGATCACTTCTTGATCATAGTTTCTCGATCGTGCTTTGCCTTCTCTTCTCGCTCTCTTTTGCGTATGTTAGCCACCATATATGCTAGTCGCTTGCTGCAGTTTCACCTCATACCTTTTACCCTACCTATAAGCTTAAATAGTCTTGATCGCGAGGGTGCGAGATTGCTGAGTCCCCGTGACTCACAGATACTTCCAAAACCAGCTTGCAGGTGCCGATGAGTCCGTGCAGATGACGCAACCAAGCTCAAGGAGGAGCTCGATGAAGATCTTGTCCTTTATGTTGTTCCGTTTCCAGTTGATCAGTAGTGGAGCCCAGTTGGGGTCGATCGGGGACCTTGTCGCATTTGGAGTTCTTCTTTTATTTTGGCTCCGTAGTCGGGCCCTGATTGTATTTGGATGATGTAATGTTTTATTCATGTATTTGTGTGAAGTGGCGATTGTAAGCCAACTACGTATCTTTTTCCCTTATGTATTACATGGGTTGTGTGAAGATTACCTCACTTGCGACATTGCTTTCAATGCGGTTATGCCTCTAAGTCGTGCTTCGACACGTGGGAGATATAGCCGCATCGAGGGCGTTACAAGAGGGTGGGGCCAGCCTAAGTGGAACACAGCCTGTGCAGCGCCCAAGAGCTAGGCGCTGCACATTACAAGTGTGGTGCCTAAGCCTGAGGCGCTGCAGTGCTGTCTGTGGGGCCGCAACTGGACCAGGGCTGCCACGCTGGCAGGAGGTGTGACGCCCAAGAGAGAGGCGCTGCATAGTAGTGTGTGGCGCCCGACGCCACACGAAAGGGTCACCAGAGTGAAAATTTTTCAGAACAAGATCAGTTTGTGATTTGATTTGGCCCTCAGGTCAAATATGTGATTTCTGCCGACACGAGGGTGCTCTCGCGCACACATATCAGCTTCTTTCCGTTGTACAAAAATTTGTAAAGCTTTATCATACAACATTCCAAATAGACGGACGCAGAAACACGCACCATCATGAATCTAGTGAGTTGCAATGCCTGGAAGAACTTTTCATCAATGAAGTTGTTAAACTTTTACCTATTGATAAAGCTTCTGGACCTGATTAATTTAATGCCACATTTATTAAAGCTTGTGCAGATATAATTGCTCAATATTTTTACGAGCTCATTCAAGGGTATTATCATGTAAGAGTTCATCTTCAAAGTATGAACTCCTTTTCCCTCTCTCTAATCCCCAAAAAAGAATGCTTAGCCATGGCGACAGAGGTTGAAGACGAAATGACCTAGATGCGATGGAAGAGGTTAGCTTTATACTCCCTCCGTTCTCAAATACTCCCTCCGTAAAACTAATATAAGAGCATTTAGAATATTAAAGTAGTGATCTAAACATTATTATATTAGTTTACAGAGGGAGTATTTGTCTTTCTAAACATTTTAAATGGTTACAACATATAGATGTATGTAGACATATTTTAGAGTGTAGATTCACTCATTTTGCTTTGTATGTAGTCATTTATTGAAATCTCTAGAAAGACAAATATTTAGGAGCGGAGAGAGTATACACCATGTGAAAAAGGTGAGGCTTAAGTGTACTCCCACCGGTCCTTTTTAGTTCGCATATAAGATTTGTCTGAAGTCAAGCCTCGTAAAATTTGACCAACTTTATAGAAAAAAACATCAACATTCATAACATGAAATCAATACCAGCAGATGCGTCATGACTTAAAGTTTCATACTGTATAACTTTAACATGATAGATGTTGATATTTTTTCATATAAATATGGTCAAACTTTGCGAAGTTTGACTTCAGACAATTCTTATATACAAAGTAAAAAGGACTGGAGGGAGTATGCATTAGCAGGGACGCGCGTGTCTCCAAGGCCGATAGGATTTACACGGGAGTTAGGCCAAGGATTGATCCGCAAGTTAGCTAACAACCTGGATCACATCTCTTCGGCCTAACAGTATTTACAACAACTTACAACAACCATACACTACACGCACACAATCCTACACATATACAATGTTCAACATCAGCGACAGCCAGACTCACTCAAGAAGCCTCAATGGCGTGGAAGAACGGCTGGAGGATCCACTCGTTCGCTACGTGTGCGTCGCTCTCATCGTGTACTCTGCTACAAGCTTCGAGAACAGAGACGACTTGTCCTCCAGCAGCTTGGCCGGCGTGTCACGCTCCACGGCCACACCTGCAAAGATTAGCACGGTTTTTGTCAGACCAACAAGAACAGATATGCCAAACACATGGGATTAGAAGAATTAACAAGGCGCGATTATGATTTGTTTCAATGGGCTGATGGCTGACCGTCGTCGAGGAGCAAGACCATGTCGCTGTCAAGGACCGAGGTGATCCGATGCGCGATCGTGATGACCGTCGCCTCCGAGAAATTCTCACGCAGCGTTCTCTGAATCATGTTGTCTGTCGCGGTATCCACTGAAGCAGTGGCTTCGTCCAGAACCAGTATCTTGGTTCGTTTCAGAATCACCCTGCCAAGACACACAAGCTGGCGCTGCCCCACGCTCCAGTTCTCTCCATTCTCTATCACTGCAAGGCAATATAGCATGATTTTTCAGTTTACAGAAGAAGCAGTAGCACGTGATATAGTTTTCGAATCTTGGAAGAAAATTAAGTTTCAGACTTTCAACTGCATGACTGAAAATGAACATATCACACATCAGACCTGGTGAGTCGAGCTTCAGCTCCTTCTTCCTGACCTCGTCTCCCAGCTGACAGTTATCCAAGGCCTGAAATGGAGCAAAAGATTCAGACTACAACTTCACAACAAGTTCTTGATTAGTGTGGAAGTATTTGAGGACTGGCAAGAAATGAAGCATGTGAAAGCGAAAGTACCTCCCAGATCTGATCGTCGTTGTATTCGTTAAGAGGGTCAAGGTTGCTCCTCACAGTTCCCTCAAACATCGTTGGATCTTGCGGAATGATGCTAAGTCTAGATCTCAGATCATGCAGCCCGATGGTGCAGATGTCAACACCATCTACCAGTATCTGACCCACAGTAGGCTCGACAATACGGAATAGGACCTGTATGAGTGTTGATTTACCACTGCCCGTTCTTCCAACAATACCGGTCTTCATGCCTCCAGGGAAAGTGACTGAAAGGCCCTTCAGAACAAATGGTAGTTGTGGGGCATACCTCACCTGCAGAAAGTTGAGAAGTTAAAGGATCTGCACTATCTACTCCCTCTGTCCCATAATATAAGAGTTTGATACTAGTGTAGTGTCAAAAGTCAAAACGCTCTTATATTATGGGACGAAGGGAGTAGCATAAATTGTTCATTTCTCATTTGGCAAAACACTGAATCTGCAATTCGTTTCCCATCAGACTGGATTTCTAACAGTTCACTCACAATGGCAAAAATATGAAATTTCTGTGCAACAACACGGTAAAAGAAAAGGAGAACATAATTAAACAAGAGGAAAAAGAAAAGGGTATTTACATGGAGATTACGAAGCTGAATTTCTCCCTCTGATGGCCAGTTATGGGGCAACTTATCTCCTGACGTTGAAAGTGGAGGCTCTTCAGGAATGCTTATGTATTGCAGAATTCTTTCTACTGATACGATCTTGTTCTCCAAATTGCACATGCTCCGGACAACCCATGCTTGCAACATGTTCAAGTTAAGCCCATAGGTGACCGCGAGACCAGCAATACCTGAAAGCAGAACATAGATTTAGTTGCAAGCCCATATCAAGTCACATCTAATCTGCTACCATTACTCGAATATTTTTCCAAACTAGTAACATCCTAACCTGGGTCAATGATACCAGTTGGTAGACTGATCAGAAATATCAAAGCGAATGCAAATGTAAAGGACGACAGCGTATCCAAGCGGAAACAAAGCCACTCCATTGCTGCAGCATTGTAGAATTTCGGTCGAGAGTCGGCATCTATTAGATGGCTATTAGTTAATACAAACTGATTTTCTTTGCCAAAACTTCTGATGGTTGTTGATCCACTAATTGATTCTGAAAAATGTTGTATGATAGGAGCTTTGCAAACCCCTACCAGCCTTTGCAGCTCTCTGGCAGTCTCAATGTAATAGCGCTGCAAAATTTTTATATATGTATAAATAAGGTGCTGATCTTGCAGTTAAAACAACATGAAGAATAAATATTAAATGGATTAAATTACCTGGTAGCACAAGAAGATAATGATTACAGGAACGAAAACAACGAACACCTGCCATGCTACCTGAGACATCACCACAATAATTCCAGCTAGTTGTATGATGGAAAACGCAACATAACCCATCTGGTTAGCAATGTATGTATCCACTTCACTTTGATCAGTTGAAGCCTAAGCAGTTCAATCTTGAGTGAGCAATATTCGAAGTAAACAAATCAAACTTCCCAGGAAATTTGAGGAGATGCAAATGACTTACTCTATTCAAGATGCGCCCACTTGGAGTGGAATCGAAGAAAGACATAGGAGCTCTGAATATGGCCATGTGCATCTTGTTGAACAACAGAGTTGCTGTTTTGTATGCAGCTGTGACAACAAACAATGCCCTTACGAGGATGCACAGGGAACTTGCAACAGCCAATGCCACAAAAACGTAGATCAGTGTCGACGTGCTCACTGGAGGCTCGGCGTCTTCTGATACAGGAGAAGCCCAAGCCATCCAGTAATTGCTAGCAATCTGAAGTACTTGGAAAAGTAGCTGTGCTATCAACACGAATGGTACCAGAGCTCCGCCGTAAGCCAATGTGAGGTACTTCCAGTATACCCAGAACCCCACCCTGCCTTTTTCCCTTTCTTCTTCCTGCACCAGCTGCCCACTTTGAACCTTGTCACCGTCTTCTTTGCCATTTTGTTTATCTTTCTCTTCAGCTGATGACAATGACCTGGATAGGCTTGAAGATAATTTCTCACTGCTTCCATTAGCAACATCAATCACATCCAATGCTGTGAGAGCATGCTGGTGAGCACCAACCAGTTCCATTAGCTCCTCCCCTGAACCAAGTATATCGTTGTATTTGCCTGCTTGTGCTATTCTCCCGCCTTTCATTACCTACATTAAAATTACCTTATAAAGACAGCCGAACAATTTATGGCAATAAAATTTACATGAAACATTTGCCAATGAAATTCTCACCAGAATAAGATCAGCTGCAGGCAGGAACTCAATCTGGTGAGTGACATAAACCACTGTTTTTGAAGCCAAAGCCCCAAGCAAGCATTCCTGCAAATGGAAGAAACCTTAAGAAAGGTGTTCTCAAAACTCCTATTGAACAAAAAAAGAAAAGCATGTATTATACCTTAAAAAGGTGGGATCCTGTATGAGCATCGACTGCGCTGAACGGATCATCGAACAAATAGATGTCGGCATCCTGATACAAAGCTCGGGCTATCTGAATCCTTTGCTTCTGCCCGCCACTAAGATTAATGCCTCGCTCTCCAATGACTGTCTTGTCGCCGAATGGCAAGATCTCCAAATCTTTCTTCAGAGAACACCACTCAAGGACACTGTCATACTTCTCACTGTCCATCTCCTTGCCGAACAGTATGTTGTCCTGAATTTTGCCACTCTGTATCCATGCCGTCTGGCTGACATACGCCATTGTCCCGCAAGTCTTGACCTCCCCTGATAGCTTTGGCACCTCACCAAGAATGCAAGAGAGCAAGCTTGATTTCCCAGAGCCGACCGTCCCACAGACTGCAACATGCATGCCTTGCCGAGCTTGAAAATTCAGGTCCTTCAGCGTTGGCAGCTCAGGCGAGCCGTCCCAGGAGAAGCACCCATTGCTGACCTCAATTGCAACATTGGAGCTACCACTTGGTAGCCTCTCCACAGCATCCGTCGGAAACTCCTCAAGGCATAGGAAAGATGCTATCCTGTCAAGAGACACCTTGGTCTGGATCATCATCGAGATTGTGTCAGGAAGGTTGTATATTGGTTCTTGAAGCACCCGGAACGTGGCCAATGCAGACAGCACCTTCCCTGACTCCAATGGTATCCCTAAGAGCATGCAAGCTCCAAAGGTTGCCACAGCGACGAAGGTCGGGGCACCCCAGAACACGAAGGTGGCCGCGGTCCATGTGTAAAGGTACTTCTTGAGCCAGCTTGTCTCTGTCGTCCTGAGGTCATTGATCTTGGACAAGAACTTCATCTCCCACCCCTGCAGTTTGAGAATCCTCATGTTACGCAGGATCTCAGATGTCACCTTCATCCGCACATCCTTGCAGTCCATCAGCTTCTGCTGGAACTTCTCCTGCATTTTCATCGGAGGCACATTTGCAAGCATGACCGCGATGGTGGCACCGAGCGCTGCAAGCGAGGCTACCCCGAGGGTGGAGTACAAGATGAACAATGCCAGGCCTACTTGGAGAGGTACCAGCCAGGGATCGTGCATGTACCATGAGAAGAGCCCGACTCGGTCGGCATCCACGCTGATGATGTTGATCATCTCCCCGCTCGTGCAGCTCTGTCTCGAGCTGCTGGACAGAGAGAGCCCTTTCTGGTACACGACGGAGACGAGCGCGGACCGAGTACGTATCCCGGCTTGCTGTAGCCGGAAGAACCAGTGCCGTTGTGACAAACACTCAAACACCTTGGCTACGATGAATGTGACAACAAGGAGCTTCCCCTTGCCGGCGTACCTCTCGTCGCCGTTGAGGTACTGCACCAGGGAGTCTATGAGGTATGGGCCAACGTAGGTGGCCAAGTTGTAGATGAGCGCGTAGAGCGCGGTCACCGCGATGTGCCACCACACGGTGCGCACAAGGGCCCTGGTGAGCTTGAACGCGGTGAACTTCGGGCCAGAGCCAGAGCCGTCGCCGGCGAGCGCCTCCAGGTTCGTCTTGAACGAGGGGAGCAGGCCCGCCACGCTGTCGCCGTGATCGAGGTCCGGGACGTCGTCGAGGCCGAGGGTCTTCCTGTGGCCGACTGCGAACAGGGGGCTCATCCAGGAGAAGGTGAGGACGCTGAGGAAGCCGGCGCTCGTGAAGAGGGAAGCATCGACGGTGTCGTCGTCGCTCGCGCCGTTGAGCAGAGGCTCCTCGGAAGCAGAGCCGCCCGTCGTCGTCGCCGCCCTCTTGGCCGAGAACCCGGCGACGAGTAGCGCCACGGCCGCGATGACCTCAACGGCGTCGCGCGCCCACGGAAGCGCGGGCACGGGAAGCCCGTAGCAGAGGCTGGTCGCGGCGTGGACGGCGACGGCGAGGACAGAGAGGAGAAGGAAGAGCGCCCACCAGAGCCTGAGCGGCGCGGGGAACCGCTCCTCCCCGCGGCCGCGGTACTCGAGCTGCAGGTACGCCGCGAGCAGCAGCCACGCCACCGCGCGCGCCGCGGCGTCCGTGACCTCGGCCCCGCCGCCGCCGCTGTTGTCGAGGTACCACGAGACGACCGAGTAGGCGGCGAGGAAGAGCTCGGACGCCGCCAGCGCCCACGTGGCGCGCACCGCGACCTGGCCCCACCGGAACCGGATGCCACTGCCTCTCCCCGGGGCCGGGGCGGCCGTGTCCTTGCCGCGGCGGCCGGGGGCGAAGAGGAGCCGGGCCGCGACGGCGAGCGCGAGCAGGAGGTGGGCCCCGGCGCCGACGCCGTGGAGGAGCAGCGGCCGCAGGACCAAGGGGAGGGCGGGCTGCTTCTGGCCCGCCATCGCTGCCGCGATGGGCATGGATGGGTGCAGGCTGATGGCTGAGTGAGTGGCGGGTGCGCGGCGGAAGAGTCGTGACGGCGACGAGGGTTATATAGGATGGCCGGCGGCACGTGCGTGGCGGGTGCGCGGAAGAGTCTTGACGGCGACGAGCCGACGAGGCGGCTGCAGACACCACCCCCCGTGGGCCAACCCACGAAATAATGCTGCACATGCTACGGACGACCTGGTTGAGCCCCTCTGTGACGGCCTGGCGAGGATATACGCGGTGAGCCACCACCACCACAGCAGGCTCTCCTCGTCGGCGGCGTCTCCCGCTCGACGGAAACTGAGCTGTTGGCAATCAGCAGCGGCGGGTCAATCACTTAGTCGTCAGCTGGCGGCGCGGCGATATCTTGGACATTGTCGCCGGTGGCGCGAGCTCTCGGTCTTCGTTCGCCGGAGTTAATTACACAAAATCATCACATTTGAAACATCGTTTATACAAAACCATGAGGTCATATTTTAAAAAAAACGCCACGCATTCAATAAACTTTTTGCAAAAAGCACAAATGGAGCCAGATTACCGGGAGCCGACTTGACAAAACATTCACATAAACCCCCTTAGATTTAAAAAAATAAAAGCAAACAACCCCTCCCCCCTACAACAGCTCCTTCCTCGCGCCCAACAACGGGTGGGCACATCGGCCGACGAGGACCAGCAGCCGGCCATCTCCGCAACCACCCTAGCAACTACGCCCACCACTTGTCGCTCCCGTTCACGTCCACGCCCAGTCAGCTCCCAACAATCCGGTCCCACTTGTAAGAAAGTGATTAAACGACTTAAATCACTTGATCAGTGTTTTTTGCAAAAAAAATTACTAAATGTGCGGTTTTTTTTGCAAAAAATTAGTGACCTTGTGGTTTTCTGCAAACGATGCCTTAAATATGATGATTTTGTGCAATTAACTCTCGTCCGGCGTGTCGCCGAATTGTATCATCGAGATGGCATGGTGAATTCCGCGCTAGCCATTGTGCTCTGTTGACCAAAATAATAATAATAAATCACAGCAGTTGTCGTGCAGGTTGTCTGAAAGAAGAGCAGTTTAGGCCCATTTGATAGCTCTGCATTTTTTAAATATTTTGAAAATACTACAGTTTTTTTAAATACTATGGTTTTAATTACTTTAAGCGTTTGGTCTAAAAAACTATGGTATTTATACCACAGTATTTCTCAAAATGCAGTATTTTCTCTGTCAAATAAAAAGAACGTTGAACCTCTTTTTTCAAAACAGAGCAGGCGAAGAAAACGAGCCTGTTGCTTCGTCCTCGACTCCTCATTCACTCCCAAGCCGCCGACGCTCTCTCGTTGCTGAAAATCATCTCCGTCGGTTACCATGGACAACAAAGAGACGCCCATGAAAAAAACAACGACTACGCTCGGCTATTATCTGTTGCCTTCTCTTCTTAAGGAGGCCCGTGGCATGAAGCCAGCAGATCTTGCTTGCAGAGGAAGACTCCTGCCGCCTGATCAAGATTGCAATCACCGCCGCTCCTACTTCTCTTTGTGCGACTGCTACAGTGCCGGCCAGCCGACAGCAAGTCGAGTCACCTTGCTGTAACTGAGAGCAAGGAGTTGGTGACTAGTGCAGTGTACGGTGTTCCTCATTTTTGTAAGCTGCAGGCCTAACTTTGGGCGTCGTCGTTGATAGTTTGACAGTGGACTTTGTGCATGTGGGTGGCCTTTTTGCATGGCCGTTGGGTCTGCAACTGCTGGGAGCTAAGGAGAAAACGCTAGCTAGCTATTACATACGTTGGTATATACCAACGTATTTCCAATACAAGGAGTACAACACTAGCCAAACAACTCAAAGTATTTCTAATACTTCAAAATACTGTAGTATATCAAAACTGTGGTATCTTCTACCTACATACTCCCTTCGTCTCAAAATAAGTGACTCGACTTTGTATTAACTTTGTACTTTTGGGACGGAGGAAGTACTAAACTCTGATCCTCTATTTGAAAGTTTAAAGTCGTGCTTTTGTCTCAAATATTTTTTGATTTGTTGCAGCTAGGGAAATCAAGAAGAGCAGTTCAGTCTGACCGTGCATTTTGTCCAAATACAAGAAGAGCAGTTCAGGCTTTTGTCTGAAAGAAGAGCTGCTCAAGGTGAAGGCTGCGAGCAGGGTTGTCAAGATGCCAAGGAATGGTGATGTGTCGTACACATATGCTAAAATCAGTCTACAGGGTTGTTTAGTTCTAGCAATACTAGCAAAAAAGTCTGTGCGTTGCATTGGGAGAAACAAAAAAATAAAAAAATAAAAGACGTGAAATGTAAAAAAAACATGACGTGGCCTCCTGCGCACCTGGGTCGGCCCATCTTGCCCTCCTCTTCAGCAAGGTTCCCTGGGAGCATCTAGTTAGCGACCGCTCCTTCGGGAGCCTTGCAACGATCAGCGCCACTTGGCGCGCTCTCAGCCATTCGCCACGTGTCGCGCTCTGGACGCTCCCTTCAGATTTTATTATTTTTATTTTTCCGCACGCGTTTTCGACTTTTTAAACGATTTTTTTGGTTTTTTTCGACGTTTTGGTTTTCCCTCGGTCTTTCTTAGCTTTTCGATTCAAAAAGAATTTTTGACTTTTTTTTCACGAAAAAATGCGTTTTCTTCTTTCTTCTTTCGTGAAAGTCACGGTTTTTTTTCCGCGAGAGGCACGGTTGTGCTTTAGCGAGAGTCATGACCGTGCCTCTCGGAAACGAAAAAAAACGCATTTTCTGTTTTTTTCTTTCGCGAGAATTACGGTTTTGCTTTCGCGAGAGTCACGGTCGTACCTCTCGGAAAGGGAAAAACAAAACACGTTTTCTGAAGGAAATATGCCCTAGAGGCAATAATAAAGTTATTATTTATTTCCTTATATCAGGATAAAAGTTTATTATTCATGCTAGAATTGTATTAACCGGAAACATAATACATGTGTGAATACATAGACAAACAGAGTGTCACTAGTATGTCTCTACTAGACTAGCTTGTTAATCAAAGATGGTTATGTTTCCTAACCATGGACAAAGAGTTGTCATTTAATTAACAGGATCACATCATTAGTTGAATGATCTGATTGACATGACCCATTCCATTAGCTTAGCACCCGATCGTTTAGTATGTTGCTATTGCTTTCTTCATGACTTATACATGTTCCTATGACTATGAGATTATGCAACTCCCGTTTGCCGGAGGAACACTTTATGTGCTACCAAACGTCACAACGTAACTGGGTGATTATAAAGGAGCTCTGCAGGTGTCTCCAAAGGTACATGTTGGGTTGGCGTATTTCGAGATTAGGATTTGTCACTCCGATTGTCGGAGAGGTATCTCTGGGCCCTCTCGGTAATGCACATCACTTAAGCCTTGCAAGCATTGCAACTAATGAGTTAGTTGCGGGATGATGTATTACAGAACGAGTAAAGAGACTTGCCGGTAACGAGATTGAACTAGGTATGGATACCGACGATCGAATCTCGGGCAAGTAACATACCGATGACAAAGGGAACAACGTATTTTATTATGCGGTCTGACCGATAAAAGATCTTCGTAGAATATGTAGGAGCCAATATGAGCATCCAGGTTCCGCTATTGGTTATTGACCGAAGACGTGTCTCGGTCATGTCTACATTGTTCTCGAACCCGTAGGGTCCGCACGCTTAAGGTTACGATGACAGTTATATTATGAGTTTATGCATTTTGATGTACCGAAGGTTGTTCGGAGTCCCGGATGTGATCGCGGACATGACGAGGAGTCTCGAAATGGTCGAGACATAAAGATTGATATATTGGAAGCCTATGTTTGGATATTGAAAGTGTTCCGGGTGAAATCGGGATTTTACCGGAGTACCGGGAGGTTACCGGAACCCCCCGGGAGGTATATGGCCCTTAATGGGCCTTATTGGAAGAGAGGAGAGGTGGCCAGAGATGGGCCGCGCGCCCCTCCCCCCCTTGGTCCGAATTGGACAAGGAGAGGGGGCCGGCCCCCCTTCCTCC